CGATTTTGTTCGTATCAGTTGGATTACTGTTTTCAATGCAGACCAAGAAGATTGGAAACAAACATTTTTGCATGGTATTTAGGCTGTGCTTACACTGAGAACAGAATGGTGAAATTGCTTCACTGAGCACTACATCACCACATGGTGGAGTCAAGCTGGTGACAACAGTAATAGGAAATTTATTTTTGAAAGTAAAACTTTACAAGCGTATACTTCAATGAGTACCCTGGGAATCCATAGAGAAATTATCACCAAATTTTCCCATGCCAGTGACTGAGCTGTACACTTTACATATACCATGTACTTCATATTAGTCTTTATAGTTCCAATTAGGACCTTGTATATGGTAGAACCATCATGACTTTCTTGCTAAATGGCCCGGCTAGCTACAGTTGATACAGTAGGAATAAGAGTGTATCAGCAAGTGTAAATGGGACTAGGACACCTTTAACTGTCCTGAGTAGGAAGGTAAAAGTAACTATGATGACATCTGTTTAAAATGACCATCAATGGAAAAGAAAAGCTTGAAAAGAAGTATAAAAGGAGCATGAAAAATTGTGACAGGACAGAAGAGACCTTCATAACACAGCAGCAGTGAAAACCTAGTCTGACACCACTAGAAGCTGCCTTGTCAGCATCATGACCTTCACACAAGCCAGGTGGAACAGCCTTCCTCCAAAATGCTGTGAGAAGCCTGCACTCCAGTTGGTCGACCCGCCATACATGGGTGCAACAAGCAGCGATACCTTGAGCATGCTGTGTGACCTTGTGGGGCGCCTCCTCACTGGCATGTGCATCAGCAGATTGTGTGGAGCAGCACAAGTACACATAAAGCTGGAGCACCCACATCTCTCACTGCAGATGCGCATAAACAGGTAAACCTGTACTTGCAGAAGAGGGTGGGTGTGGATGTAACCCACATGTGCTGGGGAAGGGTGTTCGAGCATGCCACTGTGTGAATATGCATCTAAGGGTTATGCAGAGCTTCTAGGGATTAGCCACAGAAGGACACTTAGAAATCTGTAGATGTTTATTAACATGCTGTAAGTTAATCTATTGTTAATCATGACTAATATTTTGGTTTATTGCTGATATTCATTCTGAATGTATGATTCACTGATTGCCAGTTAATTACATATTGTTAATAAATCAATGGACAACTTCAATTGTGATGACTTAAACCACAGTTGAGCGGTACTTCCTCGAAACTGTTTTCAAAGTTCCAACTCCCTACAGGATGCTGCAGTGAGCCCCAGCTTCTGAAAGTGCTTATAACCAAGGCACTCTATGTTATTAAAAAATTTGCAGTCAGAAAAAAGATAAGCTCCTTTCAGATTCTCATTTAATTTACAGTGCATAAACCAAATACAACAGAGTATTTTCATATATTTGCACAAATGCAATTTAATATAGTTTTCAGTTTTTTTCATGCAAAATGCCTTAAATTGTCTATTACATTAATAATTTTGGCTTTATTCTTATTGCATTTATCTATGAAATTCCCTTGAATTAGGATAAACTGGGCTGAAATTATCCCAACAATTCAACAATTTTCAGTGATAGTTCCAGGAAAAAGTTTAAGTCACTTATCTGGCATTTTCAAATGGTGTGAAAGTATCCCTTTTCAGCCTCACTAAGAGCTCAAAACCACATGTTCTTTAAAACATCTGTTAGGCTGATTAGAACACATAGGCTAATGAGATAGTGATCACATGTGAGACTGGGAAGTACCTAAATGTTTTTTCTCTGTTTTAAAAGGAGCATGTCTCTGTTGGATTTTCAAAAAATGTAATATCCAAAGAACACTGTCTCTAGGTACTTAACAACTGAATGAAAACTAGCCTTGGCCTATGTTTCTTGCAACCTCAGGAAATGGCTTATGTGTATCTACTTACCTTTTGTAAAAAATGAGAAAGATACACAGCGTGAAGTACTGCTAATCACTTCAGTAATAAATCCATTTTTAATCCATTTCAGAAAGTATACAGTTAGCTCTCAATATACTCCTTGCATCTGTTGTGACATGACATCATACTCAAAGTCACTAAGCAACTATATGCCAACTAATCTTTGGCAAGAGCATGTGGCTAGGCTAGGCAGAATTCGCTGCTCAATGGAAGAAGGGCAAAAGCATGCACATGTATAATACACAGTGGTTTGTTCCCTTGTGAGATTTAAAATGTCTTTACTTCATTGCAAAACTTCATTCCCAGCATTGCTCCACTAAGAGTGCTGTGGACCTGCTGGTGGACATCTTGAAACCACACTGTGTCTAGCCAGCTAACAAAAATAGCCTCTAATGACACTGGAGTGAATTGGTGACAAGTGCAGAACAGCTCAGTAGTACAAATGTTTGTACATGCGCTGCCTACAGATTGGGCCACCTGCTTCACAATTCAGCTTGGTCCTGCTCAGTGTAGTAACTGACTGCACAGAAAGCAAGCCGCTTAGATGAATATGACTGATTCCGTACACATTCCTGTGCCCGTGGAGAACGTATCTCCTTGCAGCTTCTGATCAGAGCATTCCACAACAGCACAAAATAAGCAGCTCAGTCTTCACCTTCCCTTTTCCTCAGATCTAAGAATACACTAAGGTGGCACATTTAGTCACAGATAGCTTATAAAGGTGCTGAAAACCAGAGCAGTGTTTCACATTGCTTAGTCAAAGTGGTTTTGAAGCCTGAAAATCCTGAAGTGACAAAACAAAGAACAACAGTTAAGAATAAAAGGCTACTGTAATTTGGCTTGTTTCTACATTTAACATGCTTTAAGCTAAGTGTAGACTCTCCATCACTACCCACTGCTACAATGCACCAAAGCATAAATGCAATATTGTAATTTCTGTGAATGCCAAGTACTATTTATTTAATTCTTTATATTAAGTATGTAGAGTGCTTCTACCATAGATGCAGTTTTATTCAGAACAAAAAGGAACTAATTCCTGGTTCTATCTTTCTGCTTTGTCCACTCTGTTGCTCTCCTGGCTTGTTACCTGATAAATAAAGGTATTTTGTCCTGTTATTAAGACCCCAGGGAAATCTAGGTTGCCAACTGACATCTTCTGCATACCTCCCTTAGGAAGATAGCGCCTATAGACACAAGATATTTTATTTCCCATGCCTTCCAAATGTTATGACATATCTGAGAAACAGGAATAAAGAGGTGTAGATTGCCTCTGTATTCCAAGAGTTCATAATTAGACTACTATATCATGAATAAGTGCCATAAAAATAACATTTCTAAATACTATTACAAAATTCACTAACCTCTCTGGTTTTGGTGCAGAACGGCTCTGCCATTGGAATGTGACATACTCCTGAAAGACTGGAATGTTGCCCATCATATAAAGTACAATGTCTTTTAGTTGTCCTAGAAAAGCAGAAAACATGACAGAAAGAAGAACAGGGAGAAAACAGAAAACAAGAAATTGACACAAATCCAAAAATACAGCATTCCTGGGAGGGAACAAAGATATCAGCATGGTATTAATGACCACCTGTTTTGCCTCTGTAAAAACCTTTCAGAATTGAGCTCAAGAGTATAAAACTGTTACTCCAGTAGTGCACTGCCAATTAACTGGATAAAATCTATTGTTAACAAGACACTGAAATGCTGATTTATTCACACACAAATGACACAAACAGCCACATTATGCTGCGATTCTACTCAAAAGAAATCAGCTAAATTTAATAGTCAGGAAAGAAATCTCAGAAAAAAAGAACACAATAAGCTTTCAGGAAGGAAAGGAATCGAGTCTGAATTACCACAAAGCTAGTCAAAATAGAGCTTGTTGATATCATTGCATTGCTACATTGAAAGGATGGGAATTTATAGGAACAGTTTCCTGAACAAGAGAGGTGTGAGTTCAACCAGAACAGGATGTCTTCGTATTCTCAGAAAGATTACACACATGCATTGGCAGCTTGCAAGTAGAAGAATGCTTTTTCTCCCTTCTTTCAATTGAGAAACTGTTTCCTTGCATGGAAATGGTCAAACATGCTGCAGAAATTACCATTCAGCATGTCACTTTGGAACTGCTACCCACTATCACTTTACCTTCAAATGCACTGCCTCAAGCTAATTCAGCCAATCGGATGGCAAAGCCCCTCTGGAACAAAACTGAGACATTCACTTCTTCCTCCCAATGTGTCACATATTGTACTTCACAGGAGAAAAGTAAGGCAACAGCCAAATTCAATCTGCAGTTAAAATACAAAACTTCTGTTGGTAATACTGCTCACACCAGTTCCCCACCCAAGTCACCAGTAAATATTTAAAAGATGGTTTTGGATACAAGTTACATGTCGGAGTAAATCTGGAAAGAAAAAAAAAAAAAGAACCAATAGGGTAGCCTTAAGGATGAGATTATAAAACAGGAAAAGAGATCAGCAAATTAAAAACATGCAAAATGGGATACAGCTGTTAAAACTGGTTGAAACACTAATATTAATTTTTCCTTTATGGGATACTGAGGAGCTGCAAACAGAATGTATCTGATTTTACACACTTTTTTTCAGTGTCTGCTAATGCATTATTTAGAATTAGAGGAAATGGGAAAAGTCATAATCCATTTCCTGCATTATAGTATTTCAGATGTTGTTAGTCAGGCCCTTTCACTCAGGAAAGCCCTGAGGAAAGATCACATATGTATAAATACTAATCTCTGACTTTCAGATACCCTATGTTATTTGGAAAAAACGGCCACATCGCTACACGGTCTAATAAAGAAATCCCACTATGTTTAGTGCCATACATACAAACTGCATGGGAATAAATTGCAACGGTAAGACCTGCCACTGACTGCTCTGAGCAACGGACCACATGTTTGCCACTCAAGAGCGCAAGAATTTATCTTCTGCATTGAAGGCTGCAACTCTGCAATGGCCACAGCTATTTGATATGGGGCCAGCTGATGTGTCCGTAAATTGCTAGGCTTAGGGTGAGAATAAAGGCAGATTTGAACCAATCTCTGATTCTTGCTATCTATGAAGTAATGGCTGGCACAGAGGAAAGCCTTTTAGCTTCTCTTCCTTTCTGTAGCCCTGCTACTCTAGTCAGGAGTTGGCCATCCTGATCTGTCCCACTCTCCTGTGTGTGAAGTACAGGGCAGCAGCACATGATTTTCACCACTCCAATACTGTTCCTCTCTATCCCTTGCACAGAGAATGAAGGTTACACAATCAGATGCTTTCCTTACTCTCAAAGAGTCTAAGAGCTAGAGAGCAAACGACAGTATCTGCCTAAAGCTCCTCTCATCACAGGAGTTTCAAGACCTTCCCCATGTACCCTGAGTGACTCCTTACGGAGCCAGCAAGAAACAAGAAATAAGGAACTCAAGAGCCACTCTTCAGTCTGCTCCTTAGATCTCACAGTTTTAAATGTGAAGTCCACATGCCCTCTATCAGAAGGAAAGCCTGCTTAACAGAGTTAGGACTGAATGTTATACAATCGCCTGATTGTTTACATTAAAACAGGAAGAAGTCACCAAGTGCCTGCCTACAATCTAGCCACACTACTTGTAGTAGAAGCGCACAATCCCGAAGGATCAAGCACAGCATAAAGGGAAAGTAGGGAGATGGTGCCAGTGGGGGAGATCAGAAGCAGCACCTGAAAGCACTGGACTGATAACTTACAAGCAAGCACCTAAGAGCCAGGGGGCTGCATAGCTCCCACTGCCCTTCTGACTTCTCTAGGGCTCTATGGAGAACTCCCACCAGACCTTCATGCTGCCTCTGTGCCAAACAGGGAATGGCAGTACAGGAGAAAAGGGTATTTTTCCCCAGGAAAGGGGCATGTATGTTTTTATGCATAACGCTCGTGTATTAAGCCCAAGGAGACAGTGATACTCGTAGTGCATGCAAACCCTCGCGCTGCTGCATAGTTTTGCCATGCCCACCCTGGCCTTACTACCTTTTCAAATTCAAAGCTGCATGTACTGCAATTTTGAAGGTGTCCCTAGAGTTTGTATTCCCCACCCTGCAGCAACAGCCACACTTTTAATTGGACAGTAAGGTGGCTTTTGTTCATTTTTATTTTATCACAGTCATAGAAGATTTTCTGGCAATGCTGACTATGACTGATGCTAGTAAGCAAAATTCAACTCAAACAAGTGAACAAATCAATCATTTCCATCTGTGACAAACAGCCCTCTACCACTTGCATCATCACCTTCCCCCTTCTTACAGTACTGTTGAATTATCAACAAGCTATTAGTAATTAAATAAAATAGTGAAAATTCATACTGGCATCTGCTGTACAAAAAGCAGTCTCATCATGCTCTGCCTCTTCAGCGACATTGAAAGAATTTTACAGAGCGTAACAATACTGTGGTATATGTGACACAAAGCATTCAAACAATAAAGTTGGCAGCTGTTACAAGATTTCTTTTATGAAACTATTTTCCGCATCTTCCTGTCTGAGCTGGGTCATCCCAGTAAGTAGTTACCATCTTACTCTTCCTAGCAAACAGCAGCAAATCAAACAGAAAGTATTAAAAAGCTCCTAATCAGTCTGATCTAGCCAGCTGACTAACAGCACTGTAATAAACTAATAGGAGCCAAAGGCATAAAAAAAAATTCTTCCAGGTGTTTTTAGGCACTTGTTTCAAAGAAAAGAACAACTGTTGTAGCCCGTAATAATTCCTGTGGTTTCTTTTGGATTTGGAAGTAGGGAGAACACTATGTAAATATTTTGGTACTTATTTAACAAAATATATCTTTTATCATTTAAATATGTATACTAACAGATAAGCATGAAGAAAGCAGAGACTCTACGAAATCAAACAGTTACTAGGAGTGTTAATGATCTGCAGAATTAAGCTCTCCAAAGAGACAGTGAGCTCTAAGTCCCCACTACAAGTCAAACTTAATGCCCTAAACTAGGCAGAAGTCCTACACAACTCCATATATTGAGATCCTGTCATTAATGTCACAGTGTGCATCCACAAGAGGAACAAATTACAATTACTGCCTACAGATTTCTGCTCAATTCTACCTCTTCTCCCGTTTCCATTCACTATTCCTTCTTCTTGCTTCATACCTGAAAAAAGAATAATGATGTGCTCCCTTATTGGCAACTAGAGCCCAGATATGGAAAGGTACTTGGACACCTAGAAGGTACTGATTTTAATGGCAGCTTGAGTAAATCCTTCCCACCTAGACCCAAGCCTCTTTCCTACGTAGTGCCTGGTATGGGTTAATGACTCTACAGAAGCCAGGCTACCTTTCAAGAAAAATAACCAACTGTTTTTGCAGCTTTAACCAGTATCTTCTTTCCAAGACTGCTGACATAGTTTGTTTGCAGGACCCTAATCTTTCATTAGAAAGTGTTTTGGAAAAATTGCATCTTTTCAGACTTTGATGGACAATTAATCTATTTTATCCCATGAAAGTATCTTCCCATTAGCATTGTTTTCCTAAGAATTTATGATATATAAAATGCAATCACTCTTACAGATGATACACCCCTGTGAACAGCAAAAATGCAGACCCTACCTCCAAAGAACCAGCAGTCTAACACCCACTGGCAAAGATCATTGGGGGAAAAAACTTATCACAGAAATCAAATTGTCAAATGAAACAGACTATTACGACTTGTCAGTTTTCTGAATTAAAGGGCAAGCTAGTAATGATTTTTAAATTCATATTACATATTGTTTTTCACACTGAAACATTCTCATATGCTTTTCTGAGAAGCTGCTTTCTTTCCCAAAACCATAAAACAAGTTCTCGTAAGTTCCCACTCTTCTACTTTGAAATGAAAACTTACTTGCCTGAGTGAAACACTGCTCACGTATGGGCTGTGCCATTAGTACTGGTGACCATCTGAATAAACTCTAAATGAAGACACAGATCACAGAATCACTGAATGGCTGAGATTAGAAGGGACCTCTGGAGGTCATCTGGTCCAACCCCCTGCTCAAGCAGGGCCACCTAGAACTGGTTGTCTAGGACCACGTCCAGGTGACTTTTGACTATCTCCAAGGATGGAGACTCCACCACCACTCTGGGCCACCTGTGCCAGTGCTCGGTCACCTTCACAGTGAAAAAGTGTTTCCTGATGTTCAGAGGGAACCTCCTGTGTTTCACTTTGTGCCCACTGCTTCTGGTCCTGTCACTGGGCACCACTGATAAGAGCCTGGCTCTGTCTTCTTTGCACCTTCCCTTCAGGTATTTATATATATTGCTGAGATCCCCACTCAGTCTTCTCTTCTCCAGGCTAAACAGTCCCAGCTCTCAGCCTTTCCTCATAGGAGAGATGCTCCAGTCCCTTCATATCTTTGTGGCCTTTGCTGGACTCCCTCCAGTACGTCCACGTTCCTCTTGTACCAGGGAGCCGAGCACTGGACACAGCATTCCAGGGGTGGCCTCACCAGTGCTGAGTAGAGGGGAAGAAGGATCACGTCCCTCCATCCGCTCGCAACACCCCTACTAATGCAGCCCAAGATACTATTTGCTGCCTTTGCTGAAATTAAGTGATTCCTGTCCTTTCACTCATCTTCACATCAGATAAATATACTGATTTGTTCTATGACCTTTTTTGTTGTTCCTCTTGAAAATGACATGTTTTTAAACCCCAAACTTAACCAAGCTGGTTATTTCCTTTCCAGCTCAGAAATTATGATGCAGACTGGCAAGTGCTGGGAAATTTAAAGCTGTGGGAGGAGATTAGCTAGCTTCAAAATGAATTGTAAATTTTTATAATGACATTTTGGATGAAGGATGGTCTCAGATTTCATATCTGGGCTCATTTCCTGGCTCTGTTAATGTTTTTCTGCCTGACCTCTGCAAGAGTTAGCTTCTCCGTACTTCCACCCTCATCTGTAGCAGATGATAACTCTGCAATCATTCCAACTGTTTCTTGTTTAAAACTGCAGGCTTTATGGGCCAGAGGCTACTTCTTACCATGCATGCAATTCACAGCTTAGCATGGTTAGGCTCCCCTCACCTACCTAGGAGTCAGCTAGATGATAATGTTGTCAAAATAACTGGTGCTTTACTTACAATCATCCAAACTGTGTACCCAAGTATGTTTAATATCTTTCCTACTTACATCAGTATTGATACTAAAATTACTCATTTCCAAGTACTACTGGCAGAATAGGGATGATTATGATTTAATCTGTATAAACAAAGTGATCAGACTAAATACTTTTACACTTGAAAAAAAAGACCATTGTCAGCAATACAGCTGCTCTCCACCCATAAATCAACTCTAGTGTAACAGGAAGCAGTTTATATGGGGCTTGCTCCTGCAGGGTACTGAGTCATTTAGATACACTGTACTTAAAATGTACTCTCTTACCAGAAAAAGCATTTCAGTTACACATACAAAAAATGTCAGTAAGTCAAAACTTGAATAGCACTGCAGAGAACAAACCTAGATATACATGTTCAGTTGGCAATGAAATACTGCCAGCTGACCCACAAAAGCACAAAGAAGCTGCATAAATCACTCCAAACACTTAAAATTGGGTGGAATACCCAGTACTTCCAGATAGAGTACATCTATTGGTACTAACAATAAATTTACCTCTTAATATGTGAAACTGTATTTTTTAAAAACTTGGTGTAGTTAGTGATCTTTACATGTAACTTATTTTTTTCCCCCATTTGCTTGAATTTTTCTAAACATCAGATAATCAAGGAGGGGAGGACTGACTGGAGTACAGAGACTTTGGAAAAAAATTACTTCCTTGTGATTCTTAGCAAATTAAAAATGTTTGCATCTCTCCTTGTTTTAAAACAACCTCCTCTCTTTTCCCACTGTGTCGCATTTGATCTCTTCTGTAGAGCCTCATTATAACTACATATATTTTCCTACCTGGCTCCTACTATGCTTTCTTGCACCTCTCCATCTCATTTCAGATTTTTCTTAAAACTTAGAACAGCCTGTGGTCTTATCCATGTTCCTTCCCCACATCTCAGAATAGGAGATCTCTTCAAAATACTCTTCCCAAGAAGCTACACTTTCTTTCATTCAAGGCTATTCTTCAAAGCTTGGTATTTCTTCTATCTTTGTTAGAGCTGAACTTCTTGTAATCTCATTCCTGTCTCCCATTATGCCTTCTTGTATGTATCTCAATTTTTTGCCATAAGAACTGAGGCTAACACCTTGTTCCACAAAAACTTAATTTAATATTAACGTGTTATCATATGGTTTAACCCCACTGGTCCCCTTGTTTCTCCCCCAAAACAAAGAACACAATGAAAACCAAATGTTACTCACCTGTCAATGAATTGGTCAATTATGACAAGATCACCAGGTTGTATTTCCTCTCGTAATGAACCACAGGCAGTACTCACTAAAACATGAGAACAATTTTCTTCTTTTAAAGCCCAGATATTGGCACGGTAATTGACGTTTGATGGCATAATTGTATGATGCCTTCCATGTCTGCAAAGATACATGTTGTAAGAGTAAAATAAATCAGATTGAAATTGCCTTCCTTCTCCCAGATAAACAGAATTCCAGAAAATGTAATTTCCCTAACAACATTGAAAATGATCATTTCAGCTACTTCCAGTGTAGCCTTTTTTCCTAACCGTATTAAGGTTCTCTCAGTATTAGATTTAACAAGTAGTGGTGTAGTTTTCTTTTTAAATACAAAATTTTAAGTTCAAGACTGTAATGAAAAGAATCTTGAAAATACAATCCAAATATACTTTAGCAGCTTCAAGAGTACAAAAAGCATTTTTCTCTGAATTTTCTAAGTCAGTTCCATAGGTTCTGAAAACCCAGGTGCAGCAAATCAGATCTTTCATACAGTACAACAAATTTGCAAGATTTATAAACATCTCTACAAATTTTCTGCTCAGAAGTGCTGTTGTATTCTCCCACACAGAAAAGAGCAGCACATCACAGGAAATTTAAACCAGAAAGAACACACTGCTTTAATCTGTCACTTTCCCAAAGAAAACAGTAGAATCACCCCATTTTTCTTTTTGCTCTTAAAATGACCTGACAGCTTTCATAAATTACAAGAATGACTTCACACTGTTGCTGTATATTTTTTCACCAAGAAATGCAATAGTCTTTCATTTTATTTCTGTCATCACCACAGAGATACATCACTCACATAATGATTAAACACATTTGAAAATTATTTTCAACCATGTAAGAGGAAAGGAGGAACTTAATTTTACAATTCGTTCTTTCAGAGAGACCAAAAGGTCTTAAGAACTGGATCATTTGGGAATGGGGAGTTGCGCATAACATGACCACACACAGTCAGGCAGGAGTGCCATGTCATCATTAGCATTTCTGATAAGCTACTAGGCGTGTAGATTCATTGTGTAATGTTGCAATTGTTGTCATAATCTTCTAGAACATACATGACTTTTTTTTTTTTTTTTTATAATTAATCTGACATTCATGAGCAACTCTGTTATTTTTCCCAAAACAGAAAGCAAAGTTGCAGGTATCTTAGCCCCAAAAGTAAACTCACAGGGGTTGTATGTGAACGGTCATAAATCCCACTGAGGATGTGAACCACAGCTGAATTGTTCAGCTATATGTAGCCCAAGGCCTACTTTGATACAGCACAGCTATGAGATCTTGGCTTAGCATTTGATTTGGGAAAATGAGAAAAATGTTGTCCAGGTGTAATAAAATACACGAACAAAGTCTATCCAAGATAAGAAAAGTAAACACAGACAGAAGTGTAGTTGCAGAGATGATAACAGTCAGCAGCTTAACTGAAAAACACTGGCATGAAAAAAATCAGGGCCATGAGTGTACCACTTGGTTGTAATTGCCCTGGTCAACCTCACCCTGGGCCTCGCCCCAAACACCCAGTGCCCATGAGCCTAAGTGCTCCTGTCTCCAAGTTCAGGCCCCAGCCTTCACCCCTGGCCTGAGCCATGTCACAGGCGTGCCTGTCCCCAGCCCTGTCTCCCAGATGGCCTTCAGACCTAAGCTGCAGTTTGTCTCCAGACCTGTTTTCTGCGTGGACTTTGGACACATGCTGCAGCCTTGTCTCCAACCCTGCCTATGGCCCTATCCCCTACTGCTCCTGCCTGGACTCTCTGAATGGAAGCTGGACTTAATTCATCATCTTGACCTGTCAAGGACTGCTGAGGGACCCTGTTGTCAGCATCCATGCTCTCCACATGCTGAGAACTGTTAGGATTCTTATACTTAATCCAGTTGCACATTGGTCCTAGGTATCCACGGTTACATTACTGTGAAATTCCTATGCACTCATCTGCAGATCCTGCTTCCAGAGTCTTTTCTGAGTATGGTAAGAGATGTCCGAATAAAAATGCCACAGGGAGAGAGAACAACATGGGATGCAGACTCCTAAGCAAGAAAGGAAACAGCCAGAGGACTCATTAATCAAAGGGAACGATCTAGAAGAGTCTACAGTGGTACCAGACATACAGTTCATCTGGAAACAGGCAATTTCCCAGTTTCACAAAGGAAATTTGCAAACACTGGGACAGATTACTGAAGTTATCAGGTACCACCTACTTACCACCAGAGCAGACAACTTTGCAGGTTGCCAATCCTACTAGGGCAGCACCCCTCACTGGATTTCTCTTTCCTAACCTAGACAGTATTTTTAATACTCTCAGTCTCTGCAGCATCATATTTGTTCAGGAAAAACCCCAGACCTCTGCTGGACTTTGCTAGCAACCACACACAGCAAGATAAGTCAGAGCAAATATTCAGTTCACCTAATGTAAGAAGAAAAAACTTTTGAGAAAACTTTAAGACACATAATATAAACCCCTTTGAAATGCTCATTTACCTTGCCAACAGCACACAGTCCACATTTTTTATCTTCCCCAATATCAGAGCATCCGATGGCTGCAAAACAAACAAGTAAGAATGAGTTACAGCTTGACAATCACATTAGAAACCTTAACTGCTACTTAAAAATAAGCAGGATAGTTATGAAAATAAATACTTGTTAACACTGTGGTTTCACATTTTCTTCAGCTCAGCTCTGTAATTTGATACGGCAGACTAGTAAAACAGTCTCGAACAGGAAGATCAAACTTGACACTGGAAGGATTATCATAATTTTTCTGTGTTCATTCTAACATTATTATCACAACTCCTTACTCTAGGGTTTGAAACAGTAATACTTTCAAATACTTTGAAACTATTTCAAACAGTGCTACACAAACAAGAAAACAGAAGCATGTACATGTTGCCTTTAAATTGGTTAGCAAGTCTCCCTCTCTAAACTTGGTTGCATTTTGCTGAACAGGTGCCATTCCCTACTAAAAGCCCCCTCCCAACAGAAATCACATTTCATCTGTCCCTTTCCATAACATTCCCTCCTCTCTTCTCTGTCCTTTTCCTACCAGGGTGTAAGGAGGAGTTCTAGACTCCTCCAACCCACCCTTCACTTCTCCCCCCGCTGCTTCCTGACAAATTCACTCCTCCCTGCTGGGAGTCCTGCTTTTGGAAGGTGCACTGTGATACAACAGCGAGGTTCTGGTACACAGTGGCAGAAGCAGCGTTGTATTTGGTCAGCCCAGGGATGAGGAGACAGCGTGTGCTCTCCTCTCACAGCTACAGGAGAACATGCATCCCTCCTGACTAACAACCAGTCATGAAGCTACAGAGAGTATTTGGGTTTTAGCTGCCCAGCTGGGACACGTGCCATGCTTGGAGATGGTCATATTGCCCACACAGGGCAGTCCTCAAGTCACCAACTGCCATTACAACAAATTAACTGCTCTGTAGGCTGTGTTCTGCTGCTGGGCTATATGCACCAGAGATCTGAAATACACAATGCTTCTAGCTTCCCTTTTTGTTAAAAAATATAAGGCCTCTGTTTAATTAAATGCTAAACTGCATTTGTGTTGAACAGTGGTGCAGTTGGATGTGCTGCTTCTCCTGCCCAATTCAGAACTGCATGGATTCCACTTGTTTTATTGCAGTGTTGAAGAAACAGTAAATAAATTGGAAGCAACTCTATACCAATCTATCCTTCCATGCTGTGGGATTTAAAGCTGAAATAGCTATTGACAAAATTACAATTTATTTACTAATCACAAGTTTGCATGTGTCTGGAAGGACTCAACACATTTGCATTTAACAATGTTCTATTGCCTGCTACTTGATATGATTTTATTTGTATTTTAATGCTAGCTGCATGATTTCAATTATCATTTAGTTTTACAGCTGTTAACTCTATTACACACATGAAAATTTGCCAAGATCTAGAATAAAGTAATATGTGAGTCCCACATCACTGCATTTTAGAGATACTAATTTCTAATAAAAACACCACTTTCTACTCCCTATTGCATAGCTCATTTTAGTAATTTCTAATGTGAAATCTCTTCAAAACATAGATTACTCTATCACTTTGGTTTAAATTCTGCCAGAGATAGATTTACCACATTTTTTCTTATAAAAGGAATGTTCCAGAAAATTTTAGAACTGTAGTGTATTCTGCCTTCTTTTTAAAAGTCCCCATTTAATATTAAACTATTGACATATAAATGTTTAATCTATTTACCTTCTTTACATATACTCTTCTGAACCAGACATGGACTTAAGAGTGAAATTTCATACAGGGCAAAGGGCATTTTGATGTTGCAACATTCCATAACAATGACAGTTCACAATAATTACCATTTGGGGTTTTGTTTTTTGCATTTGTTTTGTTTTGAGAGCACACATTTGCTGTGTGCTGTAACAAATACGCAACTTAACTCACAGCAGGATACAAAAAAACCCTTGAAAACTAAAGAGGACATCAGCTAAAATTCCTTGCCTCTTATCAAAAGTAAAGATCAGTAAGTTGAAGACTGGACCTTTTGCTTTACATGTGACAGATTCAAGTTTATTGCAAGAGATAGATTCAAGTTTTTATCAATTTCCAAAAGATTTTGGGTAGAAAGGTGCAATTTAGCAGCTATTTGATAGTCATCTCCACCACAGAACTCCACTGAATTCTGCATACATTGCTGATGCATCGAGAATGCAACAGCTTTGAAATCCAACAGGCTTCAGAAATCTAGTTGCAGCAGCCAGGGTTTCCTTCCCTATCTGCTGCCATGCTAGTCACTTCAAAAGGTTTCAGGGTGGCTGTGTAACTGGACCAGTTGTCATCTTTACACAGATTTCCACAGAACACATTCAGGGCATCTTCCAGGTGACTGCATGAGTACCTTTCTTGCTAGAAACATGGCAGAGAAACAGATTTGAAGCAAAGAATGCGCTACTAAACAATGAACTGACAGTTTAAGAAAAGAATTTGCAGATACCCCATCATGGGTCATTAAAAAAAAGAGGAAATAAGGATAAATCAGTGGGTGTAAAGTTACAAACAAGTGAAAGATACATGAATTTCAAATGATATGTTAACTGTGTAACAGAGCTAGTGTATGCTTCTGTTCTGTTCTCTTTTCTCCCACAAGTTCCTTCCAGTGCTGTACCTCTCTACTGTCATCTCAGCTGTAGTAAGGAGCTTTGAAATGCTGAGAAAATAATAAAAACTTCCAATTGAACAATCTGAATTTAAAGATGTAATGCAGTATTTTTAAAGCAGGATTTAATAAAAGGCCCAATAAAAAGTTCTCAAACATTAATAATTCATATACATATTTAACTACTTCCCCCTTCTGCAAAATCTAAGTCAGATCTATATTACTCTGTGTTACAAAACAGAAAAGGAAGCCAAGAACCCTGGGCAGTTAACACTAAATTATGACAGTAACAAAGAATTGAAATAAATCCCCTTTGTCCACAACATAAATATGCATAAACTATTGTTCATGTGGTGCTTACAGAATTCGTTTTTTCCTTGTCTCACCTCAGAAGCAAGCTGAAACAGAAAATAGAATGAAGCAGCAAAATAAAAATCTCAGGAAAATTTCAGATGGAAAAGTATCTCATAGGTTCCCCAAGCCTTCATTCTACCTGTGACCTAGTTCAGGAACCAAATGATGTACATCGTTTTGGGGAGGTAGAAGAAAAGCTTAAGTGTTATGTCACATGGTCTGATTTTCCTGATGCAAGCATACAAAGCTCATTTGCAAGGTGGACCCTCCCCACACTTTGTTTTACAGGTATACCTATGATCAAATAAAAAAAAAGCAGGGGGGGGGGCGGACCATAAAATAATTTTCTAGAACAGGAAGATATTTTGCTGATTTGGGGAAAGCTGATTCAGAACCAACTTCTGTCATCCAGAAAGGAAAACAATCTAACTGAAAGTATATTCTGAACAAAGTTTTATTAGTAGCTTCAAAATTCAACAATGATGATGAATGCTGTTGCAAGCAATTTTCTTATCCTATAAGAGAACAACATTTTCCACAGCTGGAGATGGAATGCCAAAAGCTTTTAGGTATTTTGCATAGAATACCAAATTTTTGATGCAATGAAAGTGGTGGAAGCAGACAAAGGAGAAAAGAAGGCTGAAATATTAACAGCTGTAAGCTTTTTTTTTTTTTAGAAGAATGTACTGCATATTCACTAGTATTACTGATGTAGCTTAAAAGATGATGGGAGGACCAATGCCAATGTTAAGAATTGCAAAAGTTCTCATAGTAGATTCCTTTAAACTTTTCCAGATTTCACCTGAAAAAAATACCCCCATGAATGATGTAAGTGTAGTTATTAAATGATTCTGACAATTCAAGAAGGCCAAAGCAGAAGACAATTTAAGGACTCTATATGAACAAAATGTAAGCTATTATTCCTCTTCTAAAAGTAAAGAAATAGCATTAAAGAAATGTCTATTTTGTTATTGTCGAATGTCAAAGGTGTCAAGGAACGTCACCACCAGAAAGGTTTTCAGCTAGAAGTCTTTTGGCTATGTCCTTGCCAAGAAACTTAAGAATTAAAAAACACAATTTAAGGAAAATAGAACTGCATACTTTGCATTTTTACAGGATAGAATGAAATGGACATACACGTTTTAAACTATGCCTTGGATTTTTCTTTTGGCATTCAGATATCCATTTTCATTCTTCCTAGTTTTGCTTGAACTAAATAGGCCTGATGTTGCATCTCTAATTCTCTCAGCAATTAGAAGACCGCAAAGTTCTGAACAGTTTATTTAGATTAAGCCTTCTACCTCTTAAAATTTCAGGCAGATTATCTCTCCACTGATGTCACAGCTCTATGAAAAAGCATCTTTATGGCAGAAAAATTTGGTTTTATTTCACTAACAATCAAGAACAAAACATACCTTTAGAAAAAAATACTAACATAAACCAAAAACTTCTGAAGTTTTCCAAGCACACTTAAAAAAACCAACCCACTTCTCATTTGCCCCTTTGTACTTGGCAATAGCTGCTTCTCTCATCTCTGTTGTTCTAAAACGAGAGGCAGGCCACGTAACATCTTCTCCCTGAATGCTAAAAAGTCTCAGCAGCAAAATAAGCAAATATTGATCCATCTAATAATACCGATTAAATGTGAGGTTTGTTTCTGCTTCAGTTTAAGTCAATCAACTTGACCTGCTCAATGTACATCATGCCACTGGAACCTGTGGTCTAAGCCCTGCACATCTTACACTAGGGCTGACCCACAAGTTGCTCCATGAGGATGAAAGCTGCATTCAAACACTGAAGTTAACGCAATCCTATGCAGGGCTGAATCTACATGAAACAACCATCAGATCGATGGCCTGAGTTCTCAGAGTTCAGATCTACAGGCAGAGAGAAGACAGGCCAGCAGGGGTAAGGACGGAAGCTTGCTGTTTGGCTGTGCTCCCTTTCACAGATACAGAAGCCCCAGGAAGTTAGTTTTCCATCCAGGTCAGCTTAACAGTCCCAGTTCAGCTGATCACAGTATCTAGAATCCACACTTGGGTTCCGATCATGACACCTCAGTTATAGATGCCCCCCTCCCCCCTTTCACAGAGACAGAATATTCACAAGCTTTTTCTTTAAGCTGAGCCTATGCTAAATGCATAATACACCAGGCTCAGACACAGCAAGTCCTTTGATCAAGGTTTCTCACAAACCACTACAGGCAACCAAGATTTATTTTCTCCTATTCACGTTGCATTCTGTGAAGAATACAGGAAAAAGACAGTAGCTAAACTGCTTCCTAAATGAAACTAAAAAAGCCTGCTGTACTGACCAAAGGTGCAGGACTGAGAAAGCTTTATCCACTCGCTTGTGCAGGAACCATCCTGCAGGTACCTCTACTCTTCTCAGTAACACTAAACCCCGCTGTAGGTCACTTACCGCACTGCAGAATTTGTCCCCCACCAGCGCTGTGACAGAACAGCCCCCGAAATACTGTGCTGCCACTGTGCCCTTAACTCTGATCTTAACAGACTCCAGTGAGGGAGAAGAGTGTTTCATCCTTACTGGATACAAAGGCATATCTATACAAGCATAGTGGTATTCTTGCTCTGTGAGCAGTCTCCAGACACAGTCATACTGTCACCATCTATGGCTCCCAAAAACCAGGGAATGCAATGGCAACTGGTTTGGTTTGGCCAGTGGATTCTACCTCAGACCAATGGTGGCTACCATTTCAAGAGCAGGGTACAGAAAATGGAGGAGGCAAGCTCCCTTCATTCTCTTGCATTTTGTTAACAGATTTTGAAGGATGATGAAAAAGTCAAATGCATTCTTCTGATTGTTTTCTCCTCCCTTCATCTTTACCTCCTTCCCCTTCTTGAATGGTGTGCACCCAAAGTCTGCTTGCTCTTTACACTCTTACTCCCCACCTTAACCCATTTTGAATAGAGGCACAGATTCAGATTTTCAGTATCTCACCACAAGTGCTGAGTGTTCTGGCAAGCTTCTACCCATAAAATGGCTCCTGCTACCACATGACAGATGTTTTATTGTGTGTATAGTAGGTCACACTGGTAGATTTCGTAAGATACAATTCCAATGGCACCCAGAGTCCCCTGGTCTTATGACATTACAGAATATCTGAAATCCAGTTCTATGAACTTCCTTTGTCAACTAGAGCCTCTTCCTGCCTTGATGTCCTCTCTATAAGACTCTCTCATCCTTTGTCTTGCCTGTTCCTATGATAAATGCTTTGAAGCAGGAATTGTCCTTCATGACACACTCGGCACTGTGTATGGAGCAACACCCCTAGCCTCCACTCTCTCTTGCTAAAGGCTGAAGCGATGTGAAAGAGAGTTGGTCAAGAATAACTGTGCCGCAAAAACAGTTTCAGAACTTCATTTTCAGTTCAAATTATGTGGTTATGAGCATGATAGTAAGGAGAGCGTTAGTATATAAAGCTTAAGTCAGTGGATACAGGATAAATGGTGTGTATATATATATACACACACATATATATATATATAAAAATACCTCAAAGGACAGTTTTCTGCAATTCAAAGGTTCCTGGAGCGATCTCACATACACTACGGGTCACACAACAGCACAAATCTGACTACAAATTCAAGACTAAGTTTGTAACTTCACCCAATCTACAAACGAGAAGAGGTATAGTCATCTTTGTAACATCTTGTTTCTACAAACTAAGAATCACACAATATGTAGCAACTAAAAGGAAATAGTCTTATGACAGTACCCCCTTTATGCATTCATTTAACAGTCTGAAAATTCTTAAAGCATACACACATCCTCAAAAACATCAAAAGTCTCAGTAACAAAAAAATAGGTTATACAGACCTTGCCATAAGGAGTATCAACATATTTTTCTGTTCTTCCTTCTAAGATATCCGGATCATCCAGGCCAGTTCCACCAATAATTCCAATCTTACACAGAAAAGTACATATTAGTTGTCTTGAGATTACACTGCATTTAACAGCATGTCTGAAAAACTAACTAGGCAGCTATAAAATGTATTTTCTGCTTGGGGTTAGACTATGTGTCAACAAAACAGTTTCCCGGAAAGGAAATTTCAAATGACTGATTTTAAACAACTGTATTTAACTTGCCAATTTCTCACACTCTGATTCTCCTCTTTAAGGACACCAAATTTAAAGAGCTATGAAAAATGCACAAAGATGTACCAATTCATAATTTATTTCCAATACAAAAATGAAGGCTATTATTTGGGAATGCCTCTAATAAGTGAGAAATACCTGCATAAAGCATATTATAACAAAGGCTTCTTGTTTACAGTCCTATGCATAGCGAGCCATACTGAATACCAGGCATTACTGTATAGTATTATACGTACAAAAGAATGAAAACTTTTTTAAAAAATTAGAAGGCTTTTGTGTTGACTTGTCAAGATCTAAGAACTTCCCCATTTCTGTAAGTAGTCTCTGTACAGCTTGTGAAAGGGGGACAGGTCAACAGCATCTTCACAAGTGAAATAAAAGGAATCTGCTGACAATTTCACCCACTGTAAGGACTGCTGGGTTTCTTCACATATTTACAGTTACGTCATCTGGTACCTAGGAAGTTGTAAGTGGTCATCCAAACTTAGTCTGCAGCTGTGTCACTAATTGTCTCCTGTGTAGACGCACAGGTATCAGGTTTTATTTAACTCACAACCTTTCCCTAAGTAGAAACTTAACAGGCTCTTGCTCCTCCTACTTTTTTTAGAAAGTATTTTCAAGTACATTTTTTTTTTCAATTTTTTATGTAACTGACTAACAGTTTCAAAGCATAATGGAAAGGGAAATGAGAGGGCAAAGGAAAGGGCCACTTAATACATGTTTTATTTCCTTAGGAAATCAGGCTAAAAGTCCTATGTTGTGTTTCGATACAACTTGTAGTGAAGATGCATGAAGTAATTCACAATTATCACCCATCTGTCATGCTTTAGTAATTGTCTATTTCTTGTTCTTGCTCATTGCTCATCTGTTCTAGTTCTTTTGTGGAAAAGAAAAAAGAAAAAAAAGGTAATTTGAAACATATATTCTCACTGAGACTAAATTCACCTGTGACTTCACACTCCAACTAAAGAAAAATGCATCTGCATTTTCTTGTTTCTAATCCATCATTGGAAAGTATCTTGTTTTTGTCTTTCTAGGGATAATTCCATTTTCAATCAAGTTTTCTGATGAGTTTAGAACACTTCTTGCTCTTTGGATGCAGCAGGTACTGTCAGGCCCTTCACAACCTCAAGCTTAGTAATGTCACCATTTATCACACACAGAGAAAATGCTACTACTTTTTTTTTTCCTACAATGCGACCACTTGTTGCAAAGTTTATCTATCTCACTTAACTTGAATAATTCACATAATGGCTGAGTTGCTTATCATGGAAAAAAAAAAGAAGGAATCATGGCATGACTTATTACTGCATGGTTCCACCATTTTTAATTACTTTTGAAGATAGAAAATTTCTCAAGAAAAACCTCCAGACTTCAATGTACAAGAGACCCCTTCCACAACACACACCCAATTTTCTCTTACTCTAGCTTCTTCTTAATTTTCACGTTCATAGAGACCTCATTTATTCAACCACAATATTAATTGATTCATCAAACATTTCATTTCAACACACAGAGGCTCTGTGGTCTTTGTTACACACCAAATATTTCACTGAGAAAGCTTTCCACACCAGGTGGTGTAAACGCTGATATGCTGAACTAGCTTTAACAGATCTACTTCCTTTTGCTACCCCCCTGTGGAGCACAAGGAGTAGTGCAAAAGAAAACACCAGTAAAATCTATAGACTCGAACCCTAAACATACTCAAGCATTAGGGAAGACCTAGATCATTGTTTGCAGTAGTATTGATGGGTCGTTCCCACGTTACTCATGTTGCTTATCGCAAATGATCGGACTGTTAGTTAGATTGCTCATGAAAATCCTGAAAACTATAGATATTTTAGGATAAACATTTTTTTGCCTAAAGAACTGTGTAAGAAGTGTGAAACAGGAGCAATCACAAACCTAAAAATCAGCGTAAGACCACCTTTAACATTGTTCACGCATGCATTCTGTGAACATGGAAGATTACTACATTACAAGAAGCCAGGATCAAAATGGCGCCTATTTTTTTTTAATCTACAAAAAAAATTGTTCCTTCACTAACTTCACTAGTTTTAGTTTGGCATAATGCTTGTTTTATTTGTGCTCTATGACTAAAGATTGAAAATATTCAAAAGGGAATGCTTATCTGCCTGAATTTTTATATCTGGCAAAGTGAAAGTTGTTGGGGCTGAAGAAAATAGTGCAATGCTGGAGATACCAGCTACAGCTACGTGACATAACAGTGCAATGGTTTAAGATCCTTACGAACACAAAAATCCAGCACTGTAAGAGGCCCTTCCTGTAGCAGAAAGCAGGACACCTGATCTGTGGCAGCACAGAGCTCGGTCTGTTCACTGCAGCATAAGCCTGGTAAGGTTGCTTTCAGATTTGCTCTTGGGCTCCCTGCTCCTGCTGCTGCAGTGGCATCCATATGTGCTTGTGCTGCACAGCTCAGTTCCAGGCTTTTACACCAACAGCCATGCTGTCAGAAATGGCAGCAGTGCAACTAGCTGGCAAAATATTCACAGCTCCCAGGTTGAAGAACCCACAGCACAGAAGAAGAGCTAGACTACCTTTAACTTGCTTTTGCCTTCTTCCCCCCGCAAAACACCTCAGCTGCAGTTTGATCAACCATCAACCCATCTCAGGCACACTGGCTAGAGAAATGCTGGGCTCACTGTAATTCACAGGAGAGCTACCAGAGTGGAAGGAAAGTTAGGCCAGCTGAGATTTGTTTAAACAGCTGCTTCTCCAACCATGCAATGCCAACTTGGAGCTGACAGCTCCAGCCCTAAAATTAATTTTACCTCTTTGCAAAAGAATTATTTTCCTCCAGTTTACATAATCTCCAGGAATATCAGCTGTGTCTGGGGGCTGGAGACCCCCAAAAATGATCCTATATTAAATTCAGCTTTACAGACCTTCTAGTGAATTATCAAAAGGAACGTAGCTTCTCTACGCGCAGTGGGGAGATACCCAGCAGCCCAGGCATTGAAGGCAAGGAATGGCAGAGAGGAGTTGACTCACAGAGAAAAGTCTCACCTTTCTTCAAAAGGCAGAGACAGTCACATCTAGGAGTGACCCCAAGAATGGAAAGATGCAAGACTGTATGCTCCATTCCAGACTTTGCATCCTACAAAGGGACATGAAGGACACGTAAGCTGTAAAAATTAATGGAGGCTGTAGCTAAGGTTATGTGGAACTAAATCTAAAGTAAAATGGCATTGCAGCGGAACAAAACGTGAAGTATTTTACTATGGTACACTCCATTTCAAACACTGCGATGAAGAGCAACAAAAGTGAAACCTAACAAAAAGTTATCACACTAGTAATTACAAGATCAAAAGCCTTTCTCTGTGGGAGTCCAAATAACGATCACACTTAAGTGTATGCCTTTCTTCATCTCCTGTTTGGTGAAATTTCTCAAATAAGTTCAAGCACAAGACACAGAAGCGTGAGTGCAGTAACAGTCTATGCTTGTTCATCTGAGAGTCTTAAATACTAGCATATGTTAAGCGTTGTCATGATCAGTTCTGAGCCTTTGTGAGAACTAACAACCAATGAACACATCTGTACTATTCCCTTCTATTTTAGGGACAATGAGATGAGGAAAAAATGGCATTAAAAAACCTTGCACTTAGGAGAAAAACAGCAAAATGCATGCAATTTACAGTTAAGAGAATAAACTTGCTGTCTCTGTAAAATAAAGATGCCTTATAACTGATTTCTACACACTAGAACAACTGGGAGACTTACTTCACCACAGAAAACTAATGCATATTTTGGTCAAAACACAAACCCAGAGTTTCAGCCTAACTGGCCTGCTCATCCCTGACGCAGACCGTCATATTTTGGAGCCATTTTTTAAACACATGGGCAGACAACTCTTAGGCGAAACTTTTGTGCCAGCTCACTTCTGATGCAGCTTCGGGGCTTGTGCACCTTGCAATAGTTACAAATCCGCCCGGTCCCTCCCACGGACAAATCCGACACACGGCAGCCA